AGGATGGACATGTCGTCTGAGGAATGGGAGGGGGAGTTGAAATGGTTCGCGACTGGGAGGTGCAGTTGTTTATTGCGAACCGAGCATAGGTGTTCTGCAAAGCGGTCCCCAAGCCTCCGCTTGGTTTCCCTGATGTAGAGGAGGCCACAACGGGTACAGCGGATGCAGTATACCACATTAGCAGATGTGCAGGTGAACATCTGCTTGATGTGGAAAGTCTTCTTGGGGCCTGGGATGGGGGCGAGGGAGGAGGTATGGGGGCGAGGGAGGAGGTATGGGGGCAGGTGTAGCACTTCCTGCGGTTGCAGGGAAAAGTGCCGGGTGTGGTGGGGCTGGAGGGGAGTGTGGAACGGACAAGGGAGTCACGGAGAGAGTGGTCCCTCCGGAAAGCAGATAAGGGTGGGGAGGGAAAGATGTCTTTGGTGGTGGGGTCAGATTGCAGATGGCGGAAGTGTCGGAGGATGATGCGTTGGATCCGGAGGTTGATGGGGTGGTACGTGAGGACGAGGGGGATTCTTTTTTGGTTCTTATTGCGTGGAAGGGGTGTGAGGGATGAGTTGCGGGAAATGTGGGAGACACGGTTGAGGGCGTTCTCGACCACTGAGGGGGGAAGTTACGGTCCTTGAAAAAGGAGGACAACTGAGATGTATGGGAGTAGAACGCCTCATCCTGGGGGCGGAGGCGGAGGAATTGGGAATAGGGGATGGCATTTTTGCAGGAAGGTGGGTGGAGGACGAGTATTCTAGGTAGCTGTGGGAGTCGGTGGGCTTGAAATGAATATCGGTTTCTAGGTGGTTGCCCGAGATGGAGACAGAGAGGTCCAGGAAGGAGAGAGAGGTATTTGAGATGGTCCAGGTAAACTTAAGGTTGGGGTGGAAGGTGTTGGTGAAGTGGATGAACTGTTCGAGCTCCTCGTGGGAGCACGAGGCGGCGCCGATACAGTCATCAGTGTAACGGAGGAAGAGGTGGGGTTTAGGGCCAGTGTACGTACGGAAGAGGGATTGTTCCACGTAACCTACAAGGCGTAGCTTGGGCCCATGTGGGTACCCATGGCCACCCCCTTTGTCTGTAGGAAGTGGGAGGAATTGAAAGAGAAGTTGTTGAGGGTGAGGACGAGTTCGGCTTAGTGGATTTCACAAGCTTCAAAATCTCCCCTCCCCCTACCGCATCCCAAAACCAGTCCAGCTCGTCCCCGCCTCCCTAACCTGTTCTTACTCCCACCTCAAGCCGCACCCCCATCTCCTACCTACTAACCTCATCCCGCCCCCCTTGACCTGTCCGTCCTCCCTGGAGTGACCTATCCCCTCCCTAACTCCCCACCTACACTCACCTTTACTGGCTCCATCCCCGCCTCTTTGACCTGTTTGTTTCCTCTCCACCTATCCTCTCCTCTATCCATTTACTATCCGCCTCCCACTCTCTCCCTATTTATTTCAGAACCCCCTACCCCTCCCCCATTTCTGATGAAGGGTCTAGGCCCGAAACTTCAGCCTTGCTGCTCCTATGATGCTGCTTGGCCTGCTGTGTTCATCCAGCACTACACCTTGTTATCGCTGGAGAAACTCAGTAAGCTCTGGCAGTTCTTTTGAAGCAGAGTTCTGAAGAAGCGTCATTGGACTTATTGTCAAATGACAATGGTCTGTCATTGAAATGTTAATTCCACTTCTCTCTTCACAGATGCTGCCAGACTTGCTGAGGTTCTCCAACATTTTCTGTTTTTGTTTTTATTTTATATAAACAATGACTTTTGTTTGCCATTGTCAGTTCGTTGCTACGTTTATCGGCCATCCTTTGGAATGCTGATGTGCCACTGCTGGTGTGTCGAACATATGGGCTGGTTGGTTACATGAGACTGGCTGTAAAGGAGCATCCAGGTAGACTTCATGAAATTCTGCTTCTCAACTGGTACTGTTGATTCTCCTGCGATGCTGCTCAAAGTGAAGTGGATAATAAACAGCCCTAATATTATAGGAGCAGTGTAATGTCTTGTTACAAGGCATAACTGCCATGTAGTGAGGCTACTGAGCATAGAAAATTCAGGGAAGGTTTGATAGATGTCAAAATTATGCAGAGTGGACTGGATGAGTTGCACCGTCAGACAGTAAAGGAAACAGCTGAGAGATTTTAGGTACACTTGCAGTGCAATCCTTAGATTGTGGAAAATTCTCAGAGGACTGAAAATTACCGATGTAAATCCTTATTCAAAAAGTAATGGAGACAAATGAATAGTATCTATAGGATCGTTAGCTTAATATCTGTCATTTGGGAAAATGTTAGAATCTATTATAATGGATGTAACGGCAGAGCGTTTAGAAATATATAACATGAACAAGCAGAGTCAGTATAGAGAGATTTATTGTGATTTAAAACAAGCAGCTTGAGAAGTAGGGTGGAAGCAAATTCAACAATAACTTAAAATGGACAAAAGAATTATAAGGTTATGGGGAAAGAGTGTCAGTGCAATAAGTTTGATACCTCTTTCAAAGAGGGACAAATGCATTTGCAAACGCACATATGTACATAGGTACATGTACCTATGGAAAGTTTACTTGACATACAGCATTCAGAATCCTTACTTTGTGCCTTTACATTTTGTTAAACTGTTTCTTTTCCCATGTGAGCCATGGATTATGATTGAACTTGATTGTTGAGATGATTTGGGACTCAGCATAACTTTAGCAATCAAACTACGATGTAAATTGTGAATGCAAGACCTCAGAGTACATGATGCACATATTTTCTTTTCAGTTGTGGAATCACACCCAGATAATGCACTTGAAGATTTGAGACTTGATTCGCCTTTCCCACACCTGAAGGATCACATTCAGGCTTATGACTTGGACAAAATGGACAAAAAGGTCAGCAGCAAATACCAGTAAAGGTCCTTTTAATAAGGGCATCAATTTCCCAGGATTTGGGATGTGCAAGACCAGGGGCTCCAAATCTTGGATTTGGGTTTAGCCTCTTAGGATTAGGATGAGAAAAGAAATTCTACTGCTCAGAAGTTGTCAATCTTTCAAATTCTCTATTCCAGAGAGATGCAGATCCTGTCATTGTGTAAATTCAAGACTGAGGTAAAGAGATTTTTGGTCATTACAGGAATCCAATGATATGAGAACCAAGTGAGGGAAGGGGAGTGGAGATTAGCCATGATCTTAAATGACTATTAGAGCAGGTTCCAATCTACTATGACCAATTCTGCTCCTACTCCTTATGTTCTTAAGAAAATCAGTGATAAAAATTGTTTAGTAGGATTAGAAACTGCTTTTGCAGTTTTTGCATTGAGAATGGAAATGTGTGGAGTAGGATGGAGGGGTGATTGAAGGTGAGGGGTACAGAGCTGGGGAGGAGTGACAGGCAAAGTAGAAAGAAAGGGGATTGTGGACTGGCTTTTACAATTAAAGGGTCCCAGATATGTCTGAGACATTGAAGGAGAGAATAAGTTACTAGATGTGCCCTAAAATGTCTAGCAAGAGATATTTACATGACAGCAGGGGAGTGCATTTGAGGCAGTCACTCGATTGACATTGCATTTGTATTGTGGAAGTGAATTTCAGTAATCCCTTTTTGACCGCACAGAGAGGTGCAGTCTGTCTGCAGGCATTGGATGGTTTTGACTCTGTGATGTTCTTGGCAATCACAGCATTTTTTTTAAAGACTCTATATCTCAACCAATCAGACAGTTGCTGCCAGGCAGAATTCCCTCAGCACAAAAGATTTTTGGTGCTGTTCAGACTCAAAATCTCCCTCATTTTGCTTACAAGAAGTGCCATGTATTGCACAACTCAACAATATGCAGCACTTGGTTTTTCAAGTTACAATCCTCCCTATTTCTCAGTCATAACAGTCCAACTCCTGTTTCAATTTATAGTTACAGAAAATGAAAATGATGCTATTTTACACTAGTACCAGGTGCCTAAAGCAGGAAAGTCTATTGCTGAGCGCTAAAACTTGCCTTTATGTACCTAAAAACTCATGCACAAAAATAATATTCTGTTTGACATTGTAATGTGTGCTTGTCCAGTTGTACTATGTGTTACTATAGTAACAGTTTATTCCCTTTAATATTGTAGGACCATAGTCACACTCCATGGATAATTGTGGTAGCCAAATACCTGGAAAAGTGGTGCAGTGAGGTAGGTTGTGGATTTTGTTAATATGACCTTGTTAAGTATCCTTATCCAGCTGAGAAACCACAGAGTCCCACACAATTGTAAATAGTTATGTATATATTAGAAAGTATTACTTTAATCTCCACAAATTTGTTTCAGTTGCCATCATTGTTCCGAGTCTCAACACAGAATTCACATTACACATTTTGTATCTGTGAAATGCAGTGATTGCAATTTCTGCCTCCTGGTGATTACTTTTTCCCCTTTTCCCTCCTCCTCCTTGCTGACCCAGTCTTCACTTCTTCAGGTTTTGCTGGGATGCTGCGCTGCTACTTAAGTAGTCATTATTCATATAGTCTGTTTTTGCATGAGCCATGAAAACGCAGACCCCACCCTGGTCCAGCAGGATTCATCAGATCACAGTCAGGAGTATTGACTCCCTGGCTGATATTTCCCTCTGTATTCCAGGAATGCTGATGCCAGTCTGAGTGACCACAATATCTACATCAGAGATCACTTGGATAAGGCTACAGGGTAGCCTCAGTGACCTTGAAACTGTTTCTGCACAAATAAGAACCACTTCCAAAGAGGAGAAAGCAAAATAAATTTGATGCAGTGTGAATTATAATTTGTGTTTGAGCCCAGCCAGTCCCTGGGTTGTGAACGGGCCCCTTGCTTGAGTCCATTTGCAAGTTGATTTGTATACAAGTAAGAATGCAAAGAAGGGCAGTATAAAATAGCTATTCATAAGTACGGGAAATATTTGTATGTTGGATCTTTAGAATTATGCCCTGTATGGGATCTGTTTATATGTATGAGTGCTTGAAAGTCTGATGTTTGTAGATTTGTTGACCACCTGCACTTCAATATTGCGTTTTGGAGTAACGTTATCAAGTGTCAACTGTAGTTCAGGAGGTAGGATCACAAGACATAGGAGCAGAATTAGGCCATTTGGCCCATCGAGTCTGCTCCGCCAATCAATCATGACTGATATGTTTCTCAATCCCATTCTCCTGCTTTCTCCCATAACGCTAGATGCCCTTATCAATCAAGAATGGTTCTCCCTGCCCACTGCAACGACCCCCCGCCGTGCTGACATACCCCTTTAAAGCTACTGGTGCTGTACTTTCGTGGTCTTTGTGTTTGGGATTTCCTCCATGAGCAGAAATTCACATTTCCTTTTTTTTTTCAAACTATGCAGCACAATAGTCAGTTACCAACAACATACAAAGAAAAGGAAGCATTTCGAGAGTTAATACGTCAAGGTATGAAATTTTAGTTTTGGTTTTCTGGATGGTTCTGTCAGATTTGATACACATAAACAGCTAATTTTCTTTAGGGCGTTCCTAACTTATTTGTCAAACTATTAGTTCCTGTAGCATAGTGGTCATGCAAGTGGATCAGCAATTCGAATCTCTGCAGCCTGACATTGTGAATTCCAAAAAATGTACTTACATTTTTGGCGCTAGATGACAAATGACCATATGAGATGCTGTTTCTCCCAGCCCTGCCTTATTATAACTTTCTGCTACATGTGACCCAATATCAACTGAAACTTTGAATGTAAGTTCTTAGCCTCTCAAATGACTGATTTTAATGGGCAGAACGGGATGAACATTGTAAACTAAATGGTTGCATTTTAACTGGGATGAATGTTGCAGGGTAGGGTGGATGGTGGAGATGGTAAAGGGAGTTAATGTTGAAAGTGATTTTAAAAAAAATGGAGGTGTACAGGCGAGGTTGCCGGTCTTGGAAGGTGGCAGGACAAATGGAGAAAGCAGTTTAAAAAGGGATTTTGAAACCGTGCCCAAAAGCCAGGGAGTTATGCTAAACCTTTATAAAACACAGCTGGAGTATTGTGACCAGTTCTGGGCACCGTACTTCAGGAAAACCATCAAAGCCTTTGAGAAGGGATAGAGGAAATTTACTAAGATGATACCAGTGATGGAGGGATTAGAGAAACTGCGTGTTCTCCTCATTTAATGGCCACTAATTACTTCATTTTCTTGCCTTGCAAATTAATTCAGGATTATTAAAGAAAGACAATGGAACACCAGAAGATGAAGAAAACTTTGATGAAGCGATCAAAAATGTCAATACTGCTCTGAATCCTACTAAGGTATAATTGCTGGTGCCATTATTCCAATATTTGTTGCTTTCTGATATTGAGCATGAGATTGACACACCAATGAACAAATGTCAGAAGACGGGTAAAGGTATCTTCTACTCATGTCATGGTGTAACATCTTTCCTTGCCATCCAGGCTGTAGCTTGAAAGTTGAAGATCTTCAGATACTCAGGATTGTATAGCTGACATAATAGAGGACATTCATTTTAGAAGCTGTTCCATCGCTTGCAGTGTCTCCACAGTCGGTGTCAACAGAATGTGTATGGCTGTATCCTTGCTTCTGTAATACAGCTGCACCAGTACTGAAGTGATTGAGCATTAACTAACCAGCCATGGGTGGAATTACTCTGGGTCAATAGACAACTCATCTAAGGGTCATTAGTCTGCTTTATCTAGCTTTTCATACAGCCGCTATTAGGATACAAGATACATCTGTGCCAGTAAGGAGGCACATATTGCCTGTTTTAGTGGATTTCAGCAAATTGTAACAGTTGTTTAAACTCAGTTGACTTTGGAGGGAGAACATGCCGTCAGATGTTCAGCTGCTGAGTTACACATGGCAAGGGCAGGTACTTGTTATATTTTCAGGTCGGTTCCCCATTTAGCCTTGGCCAACTTCCTTGAGATCTTGTTTCTGTCTGCCACCTTCTCCTTTACTTCGTATCAACTTAAAAGCTATGGGTGTAATTCTTTTTTTCAGTATTTCATGCCGTTTGGGCATGGCGGACTGGCCCAACATACATTATCCATCCCTAATTGCCCTTGAGAATGTGCTGGTAAGCTGCTGCCTTGAGCCATGTAGTCCTTGGGGTCTAAGAACCACAGTACTGTTATGAAGGTGTTCTAGGATTTTGAGTGATGGAATGGGAATATAGGTCCAAATCAGGATGGGTTTGGCTTGGAGGGGAACAGGTATTACTCAATGGCAAACTGCTTTCAAGTTGTGTGCCAGTCATCTCTCATTCTTGCATGTTAAATTCTCACTTTGCGTCTCTAGTCCTGAAATAAGAACATAAGAACTAGGAGCAGGAATAGGCCGTCTGGCCCCTCGGGCCTGCCCTGCCATTCAATAAGATCATGACTGATCTTTTTGAGACTCAGCTCCACTTACCCGCCCACTCACCATAACCCTTAATTCCTTTACTGTTCAAAAATTTATCTAGCCTTGCCTTAAACACATTCAGTGAGGTAGCTTCAACCGCTTCACTGGGCAGGGAATTCCACAGATTCACACCCCTTTGGGTGAAGAAGTTCCTCCTGACCTCAGTCCTACATCAGCTTCCCTTTATTTTGAGGCTATGCCCCCTAGTCCTAGTTTCACCTGCTAGTGGAATCAACCTCCCTGCCTCCACCTTATCTATTCCCTTCATAATCTTATATGTTTCTATAAGATCTCCCCTCATTCTTCTGAATTCCAATGAGTATAATCCCAGTCTACTCAGTCTCTCCTCATAATCCAACCCTCTCAACTCTGAAATCAACTGAGTGAATCTCCTCTGTACCCCCTCCAGTGCTAGTATATCCCTTCTCAAGTAAGGAGACCAAAACTGCACACAGTACTCCAGGTGTGGCCTCACCAGGACCCTATACAGCTGCAGCATAGCCTCCCTGTTTTTCAACTCCATCCCTCTAGCAATGACAGACAAAATTCCATTTGCCTTTTTAATTACCTGCTGCACCTGCAATCCTACTTTTAGCGAATCATGCACAAGGACACCCAAGTCCCTCTGCACAACGGCGTGCTGCAATTTTTTACCATTTAAAACATAGTCCATTTTGCTGTTACTTCTACCAAAATGGATGACCTCACACTTATCAACATTGTACTCCATCTGCCAGACCTTTGCCCACTCACTTAGAGTATCTATATCCCTCTGCAGACTTTGTGTCTTCTGCACACTTTGCTCTACCACTTATCTTAGTGTCATCTGCAAATTTTGACACACCCCATTAGTCCCCAACTCCAAATCATCTATGTAAATTGTAAACAATTGCAGTCCCAACACTGATCCCTGAGGCACACCACTAGCCACTGACCGCCAACCAGAAAAACACCCATTTACCCCTACTCTTTGCTATCTACTAGTCAACCAATCCTCTATCCATGCCAATACATGTAAAGAAAATGAAACGTAAAGAACTGATTTTTCTTGTCAGTGTCAGTCAGCAAATCATTAATCACAGATTAGAGAGAGGATTATCTGAAGTTTTAAGAAAGACTTGAGTTGCAGAAGATGAATCAGGTCTGCTTTAGGTCAATGTTGAAATTGCTAACTGCTCCAGGAGGATCATTTTTGATGTTTTGTGAATTCAAATGCACTCCCAGTGGTTTGCACTTCTTGAAATTTCCAAATCCTGTTTGAAATTTCCAAATCCTGTTTGAAAT